AGCCCTGAGCCCGGCCGCAACTAGACTCAATCCACTACCAGCTTTTTAACCGCGACAGCTTTAATATACGATATTGGAGCTGGAATTACCGCGGCTGCTGGCACCAGACTTGCCCTCCAATTGTTCCTCGTTAAGGCTTGTACTTTGTACTCATTCCAATTGGGGCCCCCAAAGGGGGTCCCATCGGTATTGGTCGTCACTACCTCGGCGTGTCGCCATTGGGTAATTTGCGCGCCTGCTGCCTTCCTTGGAAGTGGTGGCCGTTTCTCACGGCCCCCTCTCCGGAATAGAACCCCCCATTCGCCGTCACCCGTAACCACCATGGTAAGCCTCTATCTTACCATCGAAAGTTGATAGGGCAGAAATTCCAATGAACCATCCACGCTTGCCAACAAGCCCTCGATTCGTACAGTTAACATGACTCACGAAAGAAGACACACTAGTGCGCCATCGTCTTGGCCTCTAATAGATACCGCACGCCCCAACAAAAATGCTAGGCCATGACTCCTTGGCGTGTATTAGCTCTAGATTTTCTACGGTTATCCATGTAGCGGCTTCCATCAAAGAGACTATTACTGATTTAATGAGCCATTCGCAGTTTCACTGTAAATCGCTTACACTTATACGTGCATGGCTTAGTCCTAGAGACAAGCATATGACCACTGGCAGGATCAACCAGGTATCTCTCCTTGTCTGCGGTGTCTGGCCCTTGCCCGGCTCCGCAGAGCGTCAGAAATCGTTCGAAAAGTGGCATTTTGAGCACCCGGAAAGGGGGGGGTGCCAAAAATTTTGGTCACTCTCCCCCCATCCCCCAGCCTCCAAAATCACATCCACCTCACGTACTGCTTCTTACGACTCAAGTCAAGTACTCTTTCGACAAGAAACAAACGACGCACATCTCTGCACCCCGCTCCTCCCTGCTGGCTCTCTCTCAACCACAGTTCGTTTCAGCCCCGGTCTTCTTCAAGCGCATCACAGAGCCCGCCGGAGCTTCCTCCGACGCCCCCTGCCCAACGCCCCGGGTCTCCCGGCCTCGCCCAGCACCAGCTTGACCTGGCCACTCCGCTCAACCGGCTCCTTCCTCCACTTGCCCTGTCCTAGCTCGCAAGAGCCATCAGTGCAACTCAACAAGCCCACTCTCCCGCCATGCCGCGCCGTCTTGCTTGCCAAGTCGCCGCGGTCTCTAGCTGGTATCATGCGCTGCCGCTGTTAGCTTCAGCCTGCGCCCGCGCCCTGGCCGTAGAGCCAGAGCCCGGACCCACGCCAGTGCTCGTGAGGGGTTGCCCGCCTCGGTGGGTTGGGAGGAGTTGACTGTTTTCACACATTGTGATAGCAGTTCTCTCCACCACGTGTTTGGCCACAGAAATTGACAAACCACTTGGTTTGTGGTGACTGTGGGGATGCATATTGTGGGTGGTGGTGATGGGGTGGTGGGGTGGCGCACTTGGTCGGAATTGGTTGGTCGGGGTCTGGGGGGGTCATCATGGTTATTGCACACCCCCGTCCAGCCTCGACACCCTTGCCATCACTCGCCAGCCGTCGAGAAGCCGACCGCCACCATCATCATCACCATACACATCCCCCTCACACACACACATACGCATGCATCCACATCCACTTGCTCGCCATACCCACATCCCACCAACCCCAGCCAGCCAGCCATTGATCACAAATTCTCACCTGATCACACAACCTCACCACCCACACCCCGCCATTAACCATCACCTACCTACACACCAC